GGGGGGGGGGGGGGGGGGGGGGGGGGGGGGAAGTGAGAGGGAATGAGGGTTAGTAGGATGAAAAGGTCATAATTTGCTCAAAAGCATATTTTCTTGTTCTTATGCTCAAGAAATTCTTTTGTACGCTTCTGGCTGTTACACTTGTGCACAAACGTGAATCGTTTCTGTATTCGCTTTCTTGTTTCTTGGTTAGCTCTCAAAAAAGCCAACAGGTTTCGAGTTCGCTCGATTCTTGATCTCTCGTACTCTGGAAAAGCCGCAAAAGGAAATGTTGGACTTGCAACTTCTGTTAATTCATATTAAAACAAATCAAAAATTTTTGCCTAAAACACAACTGTGATTTTTACTCCAAAAAAAATCGCTTTTTTCTGTCCAGTGTGCTTTTATATGATTTTATGATTTTTTGTTGAAAATATAATTTTATCTGTAGCTCTGTCTGCCACCAAATTATAGCTTAGTTTTTGTGATGCAACTGATTTGTTGTGCGATTTCATAGTTCGTCAAACTTTGACGAAAATAAAATATTTTATTTTTTTAGAATTTTTTATTTTTAAAAAAAGACTGCGACTTTACAAGACAGTGTTTCCGCTACTAGGAATCACGTAGTAATAGGTATTGCTGCTGTTCGATTTATACAGTCCTTTCGGCTGTAGACTAGTATTGTTGCAAACCAAAGCAACGAAACCATCATCAGCTTTCTTCTAAAAGTTCCCAAGGATGGCAAATTTTCGTAACTTTGCTTCGGTGGCTGAAGCTTGGATCTCTTCGGCTGCTCCTACTCTCTTACAGAGAGTGAGCGCGAAGGGGTTTTTTAAATTTTGATAGACTTTCCAGCTAAAGGATGAAAGCTAAGGGATAAAACACAGACTGCGTCCTAAAATGCCCTCATACATATGACATTCAAGTGAAATCTCTCTATTCTTGTATTCCATACTTTTTTTTTCAAAAAAATTGCTTCTCTGTTCTTGATATGACAGATTTTTCTTCGCGGCTGAAGATTTCTTTGTTTTTTCTTTTTATCTTATAATACAGTGTACTGCTGTGATCGGTGTATTACAATATTTCTGCATTTTTTTGCTGAATCATCAAATTTATCATGCAGTTTTTTTCTGAAAAATAAAAAAGTTTTGCATATTTTTTTGGCTTCTTCCTTACCAATGACTGTGCTTGGTTCATATTATTTTATTTGTATTACTGAAATGCCACTGATAGTCTTGAAATTTGTCCATGCTGTTGATAACTTTTCCGTTGGCTCATGCTCAATAACAGTTTGGAAATAGGTGGGGTAGGTTAAGAGCAGTTATCTGAAGAAGTAGAAATCTACGTACGCTAATCCCCTGTCGTTTCACCGTGGTTTCACGGTAATACGGTGTTGCCAGACTTCATAGGACCTGTACGGCCCGTAGTAGTCTTCCTATTTTACCCCTGACTGTATTGGCCATTGTTTACAGTCCTCCTCCCGGGCTTTTTATAGTTTTTTGTTGATATGATTCTCACCGGGCCGTAAAGGCCGTGCTGCCCTTCTTTATGTTTTTCAGGTGAATCAGCCGACATCTGGTTACATCAACCGGCGGCATCTGTTCCTGTGTTTGCTTTGAGGAGTCCGTGAAGAAGGGTCGAGGTGATGCCGGTCCCTCAGTATCAAGGAATGACGGGGCAGCCCCAAATATCTTGTTGGCAGAAGATGAAGCTGGGCTTAGTTATGGGATTATTCGTTGGTGTTTCATCCGGCGCCATCTTCGGCACATTCAGCGCATTGAGGTTGAGTTTAACTTTTGCTCTGTTTTAATTTCATAAAGTTATGCGTTGACTTTGTAGTGGAGCAGCGTGCTTTTAGGTAAGAATGCTTGGCTTTTGAGGGTTTGAATTTGCTGATATCTGTGAAAAGATTGAGAAACCAGAAGAGCAGAGATTTCCAATAGGCTGAAATCAAAGTCAGAATTATCTTATTTCTCTTTTTATGTAAAATAGGAGCTTTCGGAAGTAGCTTGAATTATAGCATTTTGCCAATAACAAAAAATCGTTAGCAGGATAATTTCCCCAGACCCCTTTCCCATCTTAATATCCTTCTCGTTTTTTTTTTTTTTCTTGGTATTTTCTTTTCAACCTTTAATTGATGATTAGCTCTTTTAAAGATAATGTTTGATAATCTTAATTGATTCAAGCGAATATCATTATCATGGGGTTTGAGTGGGACTTTGGTGATAAAACTCTTATTAGTGCGCCAGTATCACCCAAATAATCAAAGTTGTTTCACTCGTGTAAAAGCGGTGTGCAGATTCCAAATTTTGATTTCTCTCTAGCATATCTGTTCAGTTTGCTATCTTTTGCAAGTTTTTAAATGTAATTTAACTTTAAATAGCAGATTTCAATATTGTAATTTGGTACTTTTTGGGCGATGTAAAACTTGTTTCGATGGATTTCTGCAATGTAAAAATTGCGTGAATTTCGCCTCATATTCTTTTTCGGCTGAATTTTGCATTTTTGCACAATTTTCCTCTTTCCCTCTTTTCCTGCCTCCCCCCCCCCCCCCCCCCCCCCCCCCCCCCCCCCCCCC